GCCTTCAACGTTGTTCCATGTGGTCTTTCCTCCTTGACATCGTTAATCAAACTCCCTATCCCATTTCCCAGCCAGATATGCATCCTGTCCCCGGCTTTCAGGTAGACCGGCGGTTTCTTGACAAATCCTACGCCTTTAGGTGTACCAGTGAGGATTATCGAGCCTGGTAGGAGAGTGGTTCCTTGGGAGAGATGAGCGATGGTTTGACGGACGTTGAAGATGTGGTCGGCTGTTGTTCCGTCCTGTACGAGTTCGTTATTAAGGGTGCATTTGAGAGGGACAGTTTGAGGGTCGGGGATGGAGGAGGCGGAGACGAGGCAGGGGCCGAAAGGGTTGGTATTGTCTTGTGGTTGAGATAAGAAGCAAAATGAGTTCTTTTTGATCTCGGATTACGAATAAAAAGGGACAAACCAAAGCCTTTGGAGAAACACCATTGAGAGACAGCCATTTGGTGTTTACGGAAAGAGACCTGAGTAGTTTTGTTGTCAAAAAAAGCCGACTTTCTTTTTAAGAGGACGCACGTCGTTGGCTCCAGTATAGGCAAGGACATAGTCCAAGGCATCCGCTTCGGAGACATCCTTGGCGGGTTTGCCTATGACAATGGTAAATTCGACTTCATAGTCGGGGAGGTGTTCTTGAGGAGGTTGGGCAGCGGCGGGAATCGTTACGGTTGCGTTCGGTCCGATGAGTGATGTCGTGGGTTTGACGAAGAGGACGGGAAAGCTGGGATTGAGAATTTAAGGAAGCGGTGGTGATGAGAAGAAAAGTAGGGGCATACGCTGGCTTGGGAAGATTGGCTTCGGCCTGTACAAGATGAGTGCACTTGGTCAAGATAAGATAGGAGTAACTCACGGCATGATCAGAGTAATTCAAACCCAAACAACGCACGAAACCGACCTGTTCCCTCGAGAGCGGCGTTAAGAGATGTTTGACGGTGAGGACGTTGTTGGTCAACTGGGCGGAGGGATCCAGTGCAGAACCAAAAATTTCGTAGGCTTTGATGGTTTTGCCTTGATGGGCTGCGAGGCCGACTTGAAAAGTGGATTAGACCTAGTGCAGTAGAAAATGCAGAAGTAAAGGGAGTACCATCAAGATTGGAGTCCACGGGTTGTCCGATATGGACTTCGGATGTCTCTACTGCGACGAAACGAATCAAACGTGTCCATTGCTGCAAAATAATTAGAGAAAACAAGAGAGACAGAGATTGGACGCGTACAGTCTTAATGGGAGCCATGGTAGTTGAGAATCAACGATGATGTCGACATGATGCTACTGGCTGGATGTGAATGAAGAGAAATGCGGCTTTCCGAGTTTCCGTCCTTCCGCGGAGGAACGATCATGTGACACTCGCCTACCGCGTCTGTCACGGTCACGAGGCAGGAACGTGGCAGACTTTGTCTTGGGGTTAGGGTTCAAGAATTGGGGAATCAAACCAAAAACAACACCACCACGACAATCTCTTGCTCTTTCTCTCTTTCTGTTTCTCTTCTCCAACATGGATGGATTAGAGTCCATTCGTAACGATATTCATGACGCTTTGGATGATGTGTGTCTTGGTTCCGATATTTCCATTAGTGGAAATACTCACACTCTTTGATGTTTAGGTCACCTCTCCTCGTGTTTCCCCGGAACGGAGAGTTCAAGCACTCAACGGACTTGAAAATATCATTGCTTCTGCGAGTGTCTCTAAAGATACTTCCCTGTTCGAGAGTATCATAGCTCTGCAGTATACTTTTGAGTGCAACAGTACGTCGGTGCTCCACTGAAACCACGACACCTGCAGTGTATAAGTTTGGCACTTACCGTTCCTCAGTTCCTTCCAGGCTCCTTCCCTGGTTAAGCACTTGCTCACCAAAACTCGAGCGACTCTCTGGTAGATCGCAACCTTCTGGTGAGGTTTTACTCAACCCAACCAGTCTAGCTCCACGCTTACATTGAATGTCTCACTAGAGCAAGAAAAACACGAGGCGTTGGTGCTGTCATCCCAACTCTTACCCGCCCTTTCAATCATTCAAGGCATAGTCTTGAGTCATCCTCCGTCTAAAGCTTTTCTTAGTCGCGAGCGCAATCTCGAAGTGAGTGGCATCCCTTTCGAGAATTTAATTTGAAGCTGAAGGGACAGTTTAGATTTTGATCGACCTCCTTCTCGCCTCTCGTCATATATCCTTGCCATCTTCATCTCCCATTGATCAAGCCGCTCCTCCTCTCACTTCTTCTCCAAGCAAGACTGCCAGCCCGACGACTTTTCTATCATCCGCCGTCCTTGACACTCTCTTATGCGTCTTGGTAGATTCGAGTTCGGCTTTGAGGGCTTTTGAGGAATGTAACGGAGTTCAAGTGATCGTCAAGATTCTCAAAAGGATGGGTACGCCCAGAGAAGTCCGGTATGTTTTTCTTTAACTCTACCCAAACTCACGTTTTCTAAAGTGGCGTATATATAAGGATGAAATGTCTGGAATTCCTTTATTTCTACCTTATGGACGAAACTTCGCCCACTTTAGAATCAGTCGAACCTACACCGCCACCAACAGCACCTGGAACTCCTTGCCACACTTCTCAACATTCCCAGTCTCAACCAGCCATTGCGACAGGAAAGAAAAAGAAACCTTACCTCAACAACACGCCCAACAGGCCCATGTCTCGATACGGTTCGTCGACATACGCGTTTAGCTCTGGGTCCTCAAGTGGTATCACCACCGGTTTGTCTTCTGGGCCCAACTCCAGATCCAATTCAAGACCGGGATCTAGGTCTGGGTCAGAGGGAACAAAGGTATCGGGTTCGGGCACGTTCAACCAGTCAGACTCAAGTGCAACTTCATCCACTACCTCCGAGTCGACGAGATCTGTTTCTTCAGGATCTGCAAACTCGTTTACATCCAATTCTACATCTACCTCTTCCACCGCGACTGGTGGAACGTCTACGGCACCCTCATCCGCTGCTTCGTCGCCCAAAAAACCGGCGTTTATCTCTCTTCCTACGATTCCTTCGACAACGATGACTCCGCCGAGCTCACCGCCTGGGTTAAATCAAGCGTTTGTGTTTGAGCCGAGGACGCCTAGTCAGAAACATAAACAGAAGCAAGGAAAACCTTTGGGGCATCCACATTTGAATCAGGTGCAAGGGGGAGTAGGACAAGGGCAGGTGCAGCAGAGAGCATTGAACATGTTGAAGAGAGATGTGGATTTCGTACCGCAGAGTCCACAGAGGAGCAACAGTGGTAGTAATGGAGGAGAGGGAGCGAGGAGGAGAGCGCAGGGGCATGCTAGGATGAGGTCTGGGCTGGGGTCTATGACTATCGTTGGGGGTGAGGAGGGGGGGCAAGAAAGGGAAGGAAAGAAGGAGAAAGAAGAACGTACGCCCAAGTGGACGGCGAGTAGGCCCGAGTTGGTGCTTGAGGATGGTGGTTCTCCGTCTAAATTTTCTCGAGTGATGGACCAGGAAAGGGTAAGAGGAGCAGGGGAAGGAGGTGGACGACGGTTAGGGACAGGAGCGAGGACAATGGAGGAGAAGAAAGAGTTGTTGGGTACGATGTTGGGGAATGTAGATGCGCTTGTGGAGAGTGTGGCCAAAGCAGGGATTTGGGGGTTGGGTGGATAGCATGACATGAATAGGGTCGAAGTAGGTGTGTGTGTTGGGGAAGGGGTTGCACATTGAGGTTGGAAATTTGGATTTTCTTTTCTGTTTAAACGCGACACGGTCATTCATTCATTCATTGACTTTTTTCTGTTGTTCAAGCTCCTTTTTTGGTTAGCATCTACATACCACTCTTTTGCATCGTTTATATTTTTTCATCATCTCTCACTCTGACTCTGTGCATGACCTCGCTATGACTTATTGCTATCGGAATGCTCTCTGGAATACCCCAATCAAATCATGGTCATTATACGTATATACATACATTTTTATATTATGTTCATATTACTTTTTCTTTCATTCGGGTGTTTATACGAGAGCACTTTAACAAGTTTTGTGTACTGAGGAGTGAGATTGGGATTAGAAAGATTAGGATAAAGTTTAGTTTGAACATAGGCAATCAATAGCGGTGTAGTGCGACATTCCATGGCGTCGGCGAGACGAGATGTACTTGACACTCAACACTCGACAAATTTTGTAAACACAAACTAGCCTACCTCCTTCCTACTTCACTGCTGCATCCTACTCTACCGATATCATCCACAGGAGGAGCACCTCGCACGAGGGTTTTTGAAGAAGGATCAAGGAGGAAAGGAAGGTATTTCGGGAGGAAGCCTCGTGTTTGCGCTTGCAGGAGTGTCGAAGGAGTCGTAGTAGTCGTATTATGACTACTAGGTAGAAGAGCCCCGGGCGAAGGTACTGCTAAAACTGCTACCGGGACCACCTCTGGAGGAGCATTGGCAGCAGAAACAGCGCTGTTTGTTCCGCGTATAGAAGAAGCAACGGCTCTCGCAGCTGCTTCCATAGTGTGTTTTTCTTCTTCGACTGTCAAGACTGCGCTTCTTCCTCCTCTTCCTCTTCCTCCTTCTCCATTGGCTTGTTGTTGTTGTTGGCGTAGGAGTTCGCTTTCTCTTTTGAAAGCCCTAGCTTTCGCTTCTTCGTCTATGTCATCGAACTCGTCTTGTTTGACGGCGCGGATGGAGTAGGAGTATACGCCGATGACGAACGCGCTTAAGAGGACACCGGTGATGATGTTTTTGGCGAGGAAAGGTTGACGGGCGCGTCGGAGGCCTGGAGACATGGACTGTGTTGCATGATTTACAAAGTGGTTGTGGGTTAGTTAGTTAGTTAGAGAATGAGTTTGCAATTGAGGGTTAGGAAAGGAATAAGTAGAAGAGAAGAAAAACGTACGCCAGATTTAGGACGCCATGTTTTGGCGGCTTTGCGGGGGTCGACGTATCGTTTGGTGTCCCAGCCTTCCATAGTAGAGTCTCAGAGACTTGGGATTGGGAAGGGAAAGAAATGCCGGGAGAGACGTGTATGTTTCTTGCGTATCTAGACGGCTTTGGAGAGAGAACCTGCTATGGGCTCAATGGTCTAGTAGTATGATTCTCCCTTCGGGTGGTCCCGGATCGGTGCGGTCTCTTGGGAGAGGTCTCGGGTTCAATTCCCGATTGAGCCCATAGATCAGCGTCCCAATGTGTTTTGTTTTTCATTTGCTCGCGTTTGCCGTTCAGTTAACGTTCAGCGCCAGCGTTCAACCCCAGTAGAAAGTGACAAAATTTCCACGCGTTTTAAAACATTTAAATGCATCAAAAGTTAACTAATGTACCAGGAAACATTTCTTCGCATTTTTGTACATTTATCAATAATTAAAATGTATAATAATGTACCAAATACATTTCTGTATGTTTATCCCGTAAATATGTGAACTTCTTCATTCCGAACCCTGCTCCAGTCCCTTCCCATCGCCGCTGCCAGTTCCATATAAGCCATAGTCGTAAGGTGGACTGGGAAACAAACGGAAAGGCGAGTTGAAAAAAAAATGGAAAGGCGGGTTGATTGAAACAACTTATGGAAAGGCGGGTTGGAATCAAATGGAAAGGCGGGTTGGAATCAAATGGAAAGGCGGGTTGGAAACGAACAGAAAGGCGGGTTGGAAATGAATGGAAAGGTGGGTTGGACGCGTACATAAGTAGTAAAACAGCTGTAGAAGTTCAACGAGGCTAAGTTAGTATGAAAATATGTTCAATGATATCTGCGTACCTCCCAACGCTCCATTTAGTCTTATCCGGCAACATCCTGAAATCCGACGTCTTCACGATCCTCATAACATTTACTGAACATACACCTTCTCAAGCATAAGCGAGTCATCGTGACCCGAGAGTCTGTAAGCAAGTATCAGTAATGCCAACGTTGTCCGAGTCATTTGACTCACTATATGCGTCCTATACTACACGTATATGTGTCCTATTTCCATAAACAGTAATTAAACGGGACAACGCAACAAGAAAATGAATCAAAAACTTACCTTAAGGAAGCGTTGACGTCCAGCAGCCTCGTGTATGCACGTAACTGCCTGTATTACCTGCATGGCATCAGTCTGTTAAACTTCATTTGAATAGGACCTAGGTTGTAAGTATGTAGAAGAACAGAAGACCGAGCATAGAGATCAAAGAACCGACTTACGCACCTCAGGGCAGTCGGATGTTGGTGGTCAGAGAGAAAGCGCTCTATAAAGATGGTAAGACATGTCGGAAGGCTTAATGTAGCCAGAGCGGAGTATGCCGAACGCGAGTTTTTGGGGACTCGGGGAATCAGAATAAAAAAAGACTGCAGCTCGCAAATCTAAAAATTAGAATTGAGAGGAGGGAATGGCAGCTTTCAAATTTTTTTGGGATAAGATCGGATTTGAACCGAATTCCAAATCCTAAAAATAACTATTTGAACACAAACGGACGTCTTAAAAAAGCACGAAAATGTAGGAAGATGTTTAGAAATGAAATAAATGTTTTAAAACGCGTGGAAATTTTGTCACTTTCTACTGGGGTTCAACGTTCATGATGTATTCATGCATTGATCCAACGCCAAAACTTACTTCGAGTTTCAGATCTTCAGACTTGTAGTAGACATTTGGTTTGAGCCCCTATCAGTGTTTGTTTTATTAAAAATCAATTTGTCAAATAAACGTGGGGAAGAAAACCTCCTAGCGAGCAAGTTGCACATGAATACTACATGCTGGCCAACGACCCAACCAACCCTCGTCCTCGTCCTCCCGCCCAGATCAGACGCTCGACGTCTGGTATGAAAAAGTCGAAATCATCGACGTCACCGACGTCGGCCTCTTCATCGCCTCCACCACCGTACGCGTCTTCGTTGGCGTTTCACAGGTCCAGAAAGTCTAGTAACTCTAGTTCGGCATCCGCGACAATGACCACGATGACGACGACGACATTATTGGGTTCACCCATCTCTGCAACTATACAGATGGTCGACGGCGTCAGTCAAGAGATGGTCGAATGGCTCAACGAAAAATCGAAAGAAGAGTTGTCCGAGTTGTTGGTCAAAGCGGATGGGGTCATTAGACAACGCGAGAGTGGTAAGTTGTTTTCTTCGAGACGCCATTCTGCTTTTTCCCGTTTCCTCGACGTTCTCTAATTCCGTTGTTGACAATGACGTCCTTAACGACGACGAACATTAGAACTAGATCGTACTTCATCCCTATACAAGACACTCTATCAAGATAATTCATCTCTACGGTCTAAACACAAAGCTTTGCTTTCTCGCATTCCTATGACTCCTACTCGCGTCCCGTCTCCGCTTCCTTCCCCCGCGTCGACGAGTTCGTCTCTAGTGGATCCTTTCCAATCTCTATACTCTCCTCCTTCACCCACTACCTCTTCCCCGACAAGTAATTCCCTGTCTAGATTCTCCCCCTCAAGCTACAATGCGCCTAACGCCAACTCTCCTAGACGCCGTTCCACTCACTACCGTAAAATATCCGTTTCTTCGTCAGAAATTTCTCTTCTAGCAGACCAGAACGCAGAGCTTCTAGTTAAGATTGAGAAATTGGAAACGGAGAATGCGTCGACAGATTTAGCCAGTAGGAGGATGTTGAGGAGGCTAGAGAGAGAAATCGGAGTGCTTAGAGAGGAACTCGAGGGTGTGAGAGAAAGAGAGACTAGGGAGATTAAAGAGAGGGGGAAAGAGAAACAGAGCAATCATTTGAATTCGAGCTCGGGTCAGAGAATGAGGGGTGTCTCAGGAGGAAGAAGGAAAACGAGGGATGATGCCGGTGACGAAACAGAGGACGAAACGACAATTCATCAAGTAAAGGACTTTGCTCCAGGTGGTCCTTTGTCCCAATCTTTCTCTGCTTCGTCTACTTCATCTGGATCTTCTTCTACGGTCTCCGCTCCAACCTCCTCTTGTTCTGTTGCTTTCCCTCATACTACGCTTGACAGCATCTATGACTTGAACTCGGGAAACTCGGACGAGCACACTCTTATTTCGCATCTTCTTTCAAAGATGGCCGAACTTGAACAGACCAATACCAAGATTCTAGCCGAACAAGCGGAGACCGCGAGGAAGCTTGTCGAGGTTCAGAGAGAGACCATTAATCTTGACAAGGTTTATGAAGGGTTGGAAGATGAAGAGGTTGTCATTGAAGAGGAAGAGACAAGGTTGAATGAGGGCGGGAATGAACATGACGAGAAGAAGGCTGTCAACGCCCTTGCTGCTTTAACTATGGATGACATTTCTACAGCTACCAACGATTCTATGGTTCAAAAGGGCCTTAGTCCTTCAAGGCCAAGATCAAATACTGCTGGCTCCGACACGATTCGTTTCAGAAGCTTTCGAAGGTCGCTTTTAGAATCAATGATGCCTATGGAACTGGCAGAACTGAGGGCTTTAGGGTCCTCGTCGTCCTTGGCACGGTCATCCAAACCTGATACGAACAGCCATTCGTCGAGGAAATCATTGTTCGGATTGTTTGGCAATTCTCCAGACTCGTCTGGGCCCATTGGTTCTCAGAATGTGGCTATGGAAGAAAATGCGCAAGTTGAGCAACCGTCACGAAGACTGACGGAAACAAAGACACCGACATCGCCTGCTTTGTCTTCTCTTGGTTTGTCGATACACAACCTCGGTCCGTCGAACAATGACAACAGACATCTCAATCTCGATACTCCTTACGCTGCTTCCACCACCTCTGGTTACAACACGTCCCAGCCTTCTTCCGTCTTGTCGTCTCCTACTGGGACGACTAATGGAGGGTTGTTATCTCTATCAAGCGAGGTGATGGGAACTTTGGGTCTTGCTGGGTTCGGTGTCGGCTCGTCGTCGTCGTCGCCGTCTGGTTACGGGTATGGATGGGGCGGAAGTGATTCTCCGAGTCACCATTTGAGGACGAGTTCGTTGTATGACTTGAAGTTTGGGGGTACGAGTGAGCCGCCGAGTCCGAGTCCGAGTCCTAGTCCTAGTCCAAGTCCTAGTAGGAGGATGAGTTCAGATGAGGAGAGTATTAAAGAAGAGGAGGAGGAGGAAGGAGATGGTGAGGATGGGAAAGAGAAAGAGGAGAGGAAGGAATTCGACGTCAGACACCCGAATTTAGAAGTGAAACTTCAACCACCGACACCGGTCAAGTTCCCTATCGTGAATGAATTAGAGGAACCTATCTCACCTCCTTCTCGGTCGATTTCGCTTTCTGGAGGACCGGCGACTGATATTATCAAAGTTAAAGGGAAGGAGACGCCTCAACAGAGGTATAGACGGATGTCGCAGACTGTCCGGATGCGGACGGCTAGATGGGTCGATGGGAGGTTTGGAGATCGGGAGAGCGTGTTGGCGCCGGAGAGTCCGAGTTCGAAGGTGTCTCCTGAGGCTCGCCTTGGGTCTTTGAATATGGGTAGTAGATATGGACAAGATGGTGATGGAAGAGGGAGTTTGTCTAGGGCGAAAGCTATGGGTTCTGTCAGTGGTAAGGGTAAAGGAAAGGGTAGTACAAACAAGAGGATGATGTTACCCGATTTTGGTGATAGGGATGATGATGGTTCAGACCAGGAGGTGGGGACGACGACGAAGGTTCCAGAGGACTCTGAAACGGAGGACGAGAGCGAGCCTACACCCACTCTTAGACCGACTTTGCATCTTCAGCTTCCGTTGCCTATTCCGTCTAGCGTCCAAGGTGCGTTGGATACGATGGTGGACAGGTTCACGAGGAGCGTGAGTGGAAGTGGGATTTCTTCTGCGGTCGGTGCTAGTGTCAGTGGATCACGGCCTGTTTCGAGGGCAGCTTCGTATTCCGGGAGGAGTCAAGCTAGTGAAGGAAGCGCGGATTCTGATAGGGAAACTAAAGAGAAGGGTCGAACGGTTGCTTCGTCGTCTTCATCGACGAAACTCGTTCAGCTGTACGTTGAACCTAGAAGATCCACTTCCAAGCTCAACAACAAGGACAAGGACAAATCTGTAGCTGGGGTAGCATCTCCGGATTCAGAGAGAGGAGCTGTGACTGGGAAAGTGGGCGGTGTGATTTTGGAAGTGTGGCTTTGGCTTCAGTTTGCGGTGATCATACTTGTCTTCCTTTGGGCGATGGCGAAGAAGGGGCCGAAGAGTGTGTTGGGGGAAGGTCATGGAGGAGGGAAGACGAGGGTTTAGGGAGAGGTGTGTATGTGTATGTGT